ACTTAAGCCCAAGAGTTGGAGGTTGCTGTGAGCTGTGATGCCACAGCACTCTACCCAGGGCAACAGCTTGAGTCTCTGTCTCAAAAAAAAACAAAGGGCGGTACCTGTGGCTCAAAGGAGTAGGGCGCTGGCCCCAAGGTGGCGGGTTCAAACCCAGCCCTGGCAAAAAACTGTAAAAAAAAACCAAACCAAAAAACAAAGAATTATAGGTGTGAGGGAGTATCTCTGTCACTCTTTCTGTCCCCAGTGCACTATAGTCCTCAGCATGTGCCCTTCAAAAGGCTCTTTCTGCTTAGGAGTTGTCTGATCCATTTAATGAATATTTAATTCAGCACCTACTGTGTGCTGGATACCATTTGGGAGCAGGGATATGAGATCTCTACCTTAATAGCTCCCATCTTGCTCTGCTTCCTTTTGTCCCCTGTATAGTAAGGGAGGGGAGCACTTAGGGTGGGGGCAAGATGGGAGAAAAGAAAGACAGGGGCAGGTGGGGAAGAACTTGTCACCTTCTGCTTTGGAACCCCCAATACAGTCAGAACTCAATCAGTCCTTATTGTTTTGTTTTGTTTTGAGACAGAGACTCATTCTGTTGCCCCTAGCTAGAGTGCTGTAGCATTAGTTAACAGCTCCCAGCAACCTCAAACTCTTTGGGCTTAAGTGATTCTCTTGCCTCAGCCTCCCAAGAAGCTGGTACTACGGGCGCCCACCACAATGCTTGGCTAAATCAGTCTTTATTAAATACATTAGTACAATTAGGTAGGCCAGTGTAGCGGGGTCATGCCTCTAACCCCAGTACTTTGGGAAGCTGAGGCAGAAGAATTGCTTGAGGCCAGGAGTTTGAGACCAGCCAGGGCAAAGTAGTGAAGCCTTATCTCTACAAAAAATAAAAAAAAATAGCTGGGTGTGATGACTCATGCCTATAATACCAGCTACTCAGGAAACTGAGGCAGGAGGATCTTCTGAGCATAGGAATTAGAGGTTACAGTGAGCCAGGATGATTCCACTGCACTCTAGCCAGGGGAACAGAGCAAAACTTAAAATACCTTAATAAATCAAGCTTAAAAACATAAAAGCTTATGTTTTACTGATTTCAGCTTTTTCTCTCTTTAAAAAGGGATAGTAGGGCGGCACCCATGGCTCAGTGAGTAGGGTGCCGGGTGGTGGGCTCAAACCCGGCCCCGGCCAAACTGCTACAAAAAATAGCCGGGTGTTGTGACAGGTGCCTATAGTTCCAGCTACTCACAGCTCACAGCAAACTCCAGCTCTCGGGCTGAGGCAAATCGCCTAAGTCGAAGAGCTGGAGGTTGCTGGGAGCTATGATGCCACAGCACTCTACCGAGGGTGACAAAGTAAGAATCTGTCTCTAAAAAAATAACAAATAAAAATAAAAAGGGACAGTAACTTTCACCTTCAACTTTGTCATCTCTTGTAAATTTTCCTCCATCTAGTTTAAGACAGTTGAAGTCTTAAGTCAAGTTAGGGCTTGATATTTACCTTAAAGGTTTAAGAAAACAATGTTTTCCTCCAATACAATTTAATACTATACTCTTTAGTATACCAGACCTTTACTGGTCTGTCTAAATTAATCAATATGGTCAGAAAACTTCACATGCCGTTGCTAGGAGTCATTTATTCCTCTATTCAAGGTACTAGTTTTTCTTATTCACTTACCTCTATAATCGATTGTATACCCATGACCCTGGAGACACTCTGGTTGCGTCTGATTAATTCAATACCTTTTTCAGCAGGTTTAACTTCCAAGTTATCAAAATGGGATTCACACACACACACAAAAACCCAATTGCAATATGGGTTTTTCTTTACCTTTAGGGGAACTGGCCTAAAAGAATCAAAAATTTTATACTCTTTAAAAAAAATTTTTTTTGCAGTTTTTGGCTGGGGCTGGGTTTTGAACCTGCCACCTCCAGCATATGGGGCTGGCGCCCTACTCCTTTGAGCCACAGGCGCCGCCCCCAAAGATTTTACACTTTATCAAGATAATTCCTGTGTTGTCCTTTTTAGGTTTTTGACTAACTAGAAAAATTAAACTTTAAAAGGGTTAAGTATTATACCCATATAACTTACTATATTGTCCTTAAAGTCTTTTGATGACCATCACCTTTGGTTAAGTAAATGACCATTCTTTTACAGTAACCTGTAATTTTATTCTGAACAAATGTTTTAAACCTTTAATATTTGACAAACTTTCCAAAAACAAAAGTCCAAATTTGGTCCTTTTAACCTCAAACTAGCTTTTTAATAATAGAGCCCTTAAAAATCTAAGAGAAACTAATTAGGTTTGTTTGGTATGTTAAAACAATATGGAAAGCATTGTCAAATATGAAATGCATTTAACTTTCCTTGGGCTATATTTGTATAAATATATTATGAATATCTGTTCCCAAATTGTATGCAACTCCTAAAATTCTAATATGTATTGGTATATGTTATTGATAATAATTATAATTAGTGTGCCAAATTGCCATATGCCACAGAAATAACCGAATCTCCTTTGTCTTTAACCATGACTCTTTCTAAGACTTTTCTCATTGACAGTTATTTTACTTTGATTCTTCTCAAACAAATCAGCTACATCCAAGATTTGCTTCTTTAAGAAAAAGTCATGGAGGCTCGGCGCCTGTGGCTCAATCGGCTAAGGCACCAGCCACATACACCTAAGGTGGCGGGTTCGAATCCCCAGCCCAGGCCC